CCTTTCAAATTGTTTTCAGTTGTCCTTAACACAACACTCAAGTTTCTCTCACAGAAGCTGGGTGGGTTAAGACCTTGTCATGTGACATTATTCAAGCGTTGTTCCATTCTACCCTTAATTATCCACTCAAGCTGTGAAAGTATATAGTAATTTCAGAAAGCAAATACATCAATATCATTTTCTTCACACTGATAATTGCACTGTACAGGGTTTTTATGGTATCAGAGCAGCAGAAATAATGATATATATTCATGGCAAAATGGTTTCTCTTTGGACATGATTTTCAGGGACTTTGCAGCCAGCCTTGTTTTCACATAGTTTGACCCATTATAGTTGTTTACTGGAAAGTGTTAGAGCAGGTAGCATATTCTATGGCTTTTACATTTTCCAGACATTTAGGAGAGGAAACTGAAAAAGCAGCACCAGATAAACAGTCATCACATGTAATTGCATTACTGGTAAGGAAATTTAATTCTCTCCTCAGTTATGGGTTTGGTAAGATGAGTTGCATCCAGTTTGAGATAGGGTAATGCATGAGGTTCTGTTCTTAGTAAACAGTCACAGAATAAAATGGATATATTTTTATGTTAGGAATGTATTATTTATTGTATCTGAAGTAAATGTACAGCAGATACCTGATAGCACAACCATCTGTGTGCAACTGGATACTCTAGCATCTTGGCAGCAGAGACAGAGTGGTTGCTATTCTAACTTGCTGCACAAAGGCAGGTTCAAAATTACTCCTGTGGCTGTATTGTGTTAGTTAATCCTACAGTGGTTCTTTGGGATACAATCTAAGTTTTTGTTTGACTTTGTTAAAAAATTAAAAGAAGCCTTTCTGATAGAGGCTGAAAGATTAGTGTGCCATGGTAAGAAGTAAATCTCAGTGAGTTCAATAGTACTTCCCCAGGAAGTACTTGTTCTCAAGTCTGTTTGAAAGGGGTCATTGCATCTGGTGTGGACACTTTCACCTTTGGAAAACAGAGTTGGAAGCTTTTCTATTGTTTCAGAAAGCTGTACAATCTTACTGGAAGCCACCGGGGAAACAAATGTGGGCACTGCTGGAAGCAATGCCTATCTCAAACTATTTGCGATATCTAGTATATTTAAGATAAGACCAAGCAAATCAGTCATCTTGGACAAAATAATAAATTCTTTCTCTAACGTGCCTTCCCATACAACTACATGCAAATGTCTGTGCACACACACACATGCCATTCACCATCCTGCCCAACTTACTAAAGCATGAATCTACCGCATAGGATATCTTTTAGCTAGCCTTGTCTCTTGTGGTGCCTTCCAGATGTTTTTGATTTCAGCTCCTATAAACCTAAGCCAGTCTAACCAAGCAGCCAGGAATGGTGTGAGTCAGTAGTTCAAAACATATCTGAAGGAATGCCTGTCTTCATATATCCCTACCAGACCCTTAAGATCTTTTATGGATGCCCTTCTATGTGAGCCCTCCCTAAAGTAAAGGGGGAAATGACAAGGAAAACGACTCTTTCTGTTACTGCACCTTGTCTTTGGAATACCTTTCCTAAGGAGTCATGACTGGCACCCTCATTGTTCAGTTTCCATCACCAGGTGAAGACTTTATTTCCTATCTGTTTTTAGTATAATCTATCATCTTCCTATGTTTTTCTCAGTGCTGCTTTTATCTGTTAGGTGCATTGTCTCCTATTCCCATCATAACTATTTTTATGATGTTGGATTATTAATTTTTAAATCTGCTGATTTTATTCTGTATGCCATTGTTTTTGTGAGCTGCCCAGAGAACTCTTGGGTTGTGGGGTGGCATACAAGTATCATAAACAAACACCTGGCTGGAACTGCTCTTACCTGGATGGCCACATCCAGAAGATCCTTCAGGAAAACCACACCTCAGCCCTTTGGCAATCACACTTTGAGCTTTTGCAAGATTCTGTTTTAACTCCTATGCTATTTAGCATCTACATAAAAGCACACAGAGAAACTATTTGGAGTGAGATATATTGGTGTGCTTTTTGCTTTATTAGAAGCAAGCTGTGGCTATCTTGAATCATTGCTTGGGTATGGTAATAGACTGGAGGATAAACAAATTTAGACTTAGTCCAGACAAGATGGGGGTACTATTGGTTGGTGCTTCATCCATCTAGGTCAGGGGTCAGCAACCCACAGCTCTGCAGCCTCATGTGGCTCTTTCATCCCTCTGCTGCAGCTCCCTGTCGCTCAAAATATGCGTCACAACCACCAATGTGCGACACCCGCCAGCACACGATTTATTGAGCTTTTTGACCCTCAGTAGGCCAAACCATGGATAAATCCAAGAAAAGAAAAGTTTCAGAAGAAAACATAATGTTTAATGGTACGTGGGCTGATTCATTTGCTTTCACTGCTGATGAGACTGGTTTACCAGTATGCTTAATATGTTTTTGCTGCATGCAGAAATAAAAAATTGTTTTCTCTGTAGCAGTTCACTGATTTCATAAATGCAACACACTGTAGTTTTTTTTATACATAGCATAAAGGTAAAAAACAATATATGCAGTGTTATCTTCATTTTAGCAGTCAAAAGGGTTTTGTGGTGTTTTCTTTTCTGTGGGAAATGGGTCCAAATGGCTCTTTGAGTGCTTAAGGTTGCTGACCCCTGATCTAGGTTAATGGTGAGTTTAACATGTTTGGGTTTCACTCCTCCGAAGCAGGGAGGGGTGGGCAGCATGGAGCCATCCAGATATTCTGACCACTACACCCATCAGGCCTTACCCTTGGGCTTGCTGATTAAGCTTGATGGGTATTGTAGGCCAAAACATCTGGAGGCCACATGTTGCCCACCACTGCCTGAAGGATCAGATTCACAATCTGGAGGTGCTTATTGATGCAGGATTGTCATTAGAGGCTCCAAGAGCTTTTTATTAGTTTTGGCTGATGGATCAGTGGCAACCTTATCTTGCTAGAGATCGCTTGGCCTCTGTAACCCATGCTTTGCTAACTGCTCATTTAGATTATTGGCAAGTGCTGTGTGTGGGGCTGTCTTTAAAAACAATTCAGAAAGTGCAGTTGACCTAGCATTGGCCCATTATTTTCCCACTCATTACTAACTGGGACTTGACTGTATGCACTTTGTGCTTTAACAGCTGCATGAACTGACAACACAAAACACAATTTAAAGTGTTGGCTTTAGACATTAAAACCTGAAGCTGCTTCAGTTCAGTTCAGTTCAGCTTATCTGAAAGACCTACCTGAATCGTAAAACTTCTTCAGGGACCCATCTCACAGTGCTCTTCCTGCCTGTTAGATGAAGCCAGGCAGGAAACCATTTGGGCAGAGGTGATAAAGCTTCTTTGGCCCAGAGACACAGTCCCCCTTTTGCAAAGGCTCTTGGAGGCAGTGTTTGAACAGTAGGTGGGGTTAAGAGCCCTGGGGCAGGGCCAAGAGCAGAGTGGGTGGGGCCAGATGTAATTCATATCAGTTTGGATCTTTCCCCACCAAGGTTGGAAAGATACCACTCAATTCTATGCATGTCTATTCTGGCAGAACAAAACACAGCTCATTTTAAAGTACAGGGTATGTAAGAACAGAGTATTTGAAGTTTAAATGCCCTGAAAGAGAGAACAGTGGAAGAACATTGTGGGCTGAATAGGGAGCTCCTGGGGGGGTCATATCCTGTCTATGGGCTGGAGGTTCCCCATTCCTGTGCCTTTCTGGAGGTAACTTCTCTGGTAATGGCATTCCTGTTATGGGACGGCTCCTGTAGAGAGCTTTCTCTGCTCCTTTTTTGTGGTCTTTTGAAGAGTTTTTTCTTCAATCAGGCATTTTAATCAGCTGTTGTACAATGGGTCTCTCTTTTTTAAAAGTTGCTTTAATTTTGGGGCTGCTCTGGGGGGTTTTTTGTTTTGTGTTTATACTGCTTTTGATTTTATAATCTTGTGTTTTGTTTTTAACATATGAGATGCTTAGAGAACTTTAAGTTATGGATCATTATAAAATGTCATGAAGTAAATAAAACATTGCTGAGCAAGCCTTGTTCTCTTCCTCCATTGTGTGTATTTTACCATACCCACTCATGGTGATAAATGTAAATTTAAGAAGGGCTGGCTGAGATCACTTCTTTCTTCTTTCCTGTGTCTTTTTTCTTGTGTGTTATGTACTTTAGTTTGTAAGCCTATGGACAAGAACCTTGTTACTATTGATGTTTCGAAGCTGCTCTGGGAGAGCCTTTGGCTAAACAGTGGGGTAAAAATGCTTTAAATTAATAATACATAAGAGGAACATGTTAATAACCTAACTGATGGAGTGGTTCTAAAAATGAACTATATAACCTGTATTAAAAGTGTGTTTTGTAGATAATGATTAATTATAGGAAAGTACAGGTTTAGTCCTCTGGTGCTTTGAGTTTTAGATTTCAGTGCTTTTAAATTGACTATGTCATGGAGCAAATGAAACAAATGGACAAAAAAGGCAGGTGCACTTCCAAGAACAACAGAATATCAAAGAACAAAAAATGGATCAAGAACATTGCAAATAAGCCCTTGTAAACTGCATATGAACAAGGTGAACTTTAGAGCTGAGTGCAAGCATGCAGTGCTTGAGGAAGACCTGAAATGGCTGTGGCTAAAGGATCCTTCAATTTGCTTTTGCTCCTCATGTAAACAAAGGTTGCTGATTTAGGGCAATGACATTTGCATCAGCAGTCTCTGAAACAACTCCTGCTTCTGACTGTGTAAACAAGATGAGGCTTCATTTTATAAGCCACGTATCAAAAACTGATTGAAAGCCCACGACTTACGTGTTTATCTTTTGAAGACCAAATTTCTCTCTTTCCTGATCATGGGTAGGGCCTTTTCTAAGGCAGGGGAAAACAAGCTTTCTTCTCTTCAACCAGTGGGGGAACATGGCACAGGTTTGCCAGCCTCAAATAACCAGCTGAGAACATTCATTCTGATGACCTATTCATAATCTTCAGGCTGGACTTACAGAGTCTTTCAATGCTTGTTTCTCCATTCCTCTACCCCTTTTTCTAGACAGATAAATGGATGGCCCTGTGGTTAACATTCTGGTTTATACCTGAAGAAATCCAGCTCCTGTTCCCCAGTCTACCTTAGACTTCCTGATTGTGCTCTGGTGAGTCTATGCCTTATGTGTATTATCAGCTGGAGAGCAAAAATTATGGATGCATTATTCTCTTTAAGGATTTGTTGCCTGGATTTACTTTGGACCTTGATCCAGTGCTTCAGAAAATGTTCGGTTGCTGCTCAAGCCAATTCAGAGACCATCTGCTTTGACTGGTAGCAAACTTAAATCAAGATTTAGAAACCTGAGGCTTTGTGCAACCCATTAACTATCATGGAAAATTAAGTAGTGATAACTTTTTTACCTCTTGGTCAGGACTGGATGATATTTGTACCTTTAGGGGAGGGGATTATACTTGCTAAATGTTGGAAAAGTAAGTGTTGGTGAAGGTTGCTACCTGCCTTTATGTAGTGACTTTTTTGAAAAAAGGGATTGGATGCTAACTCTGTTTCTTGACAGAATTGGATGAAAATTGGAGAAATAGTTGTCCCACCTGAGGGGACTAAGCCTACCAAATACCTGAATGATAGCGGCAGGTGATTTTGTGCAGTGTTGACACTTTATGGAGTTCTAAAAAACACATGCTTATGCCCTCTATGTTCTGTATGGACCATGGTCTAATAATGTCTAACAGCTTCACAAAGTCTGTAAAAAAGAAGTCTAGAATTTGTTGAAGGATTCACACAGAAGTTTATGTGTAAGGAGAGTTGGAAAGTGATCTGCTTTCCATTCCTCCCCCCTCTGTTTTTTGGGTGCATTTGTACAAAAGGCAAGAAAATCCCAACATTTCAGAAGAGTAGGGACAAAGGCTAGGGGGTTAATGGAGGGAAAAGCTTTTTCCATAGCAAAACCTTGTAGTGTTGGATTGAATGATCACATTATCCCCATGATATCATCCTTGCCCTCCTCTAAACCCCAGTGATTGGAGCTTCAAGTAAAAATGTTTAGGATTGGAAAGTGGACCTGTCAATCACTCAGCTACACTGCCCTCCCCCATAATCCCACCCACTGTGCATAATTTCCAAAATGCAATTTGAAGAAGAGACATAATGTCTGCATCTCCAGGCATAAATAGATAGTGGGACCTTATTTTGGCCTGGCTTCAGTCCTGCTTGCTTCAGAGGGAAGCCTTCTCCATGAAGCATCAGATAATGGTTCTTAAAAAAAACAAAACAAAACCCTATTTAATAATATGAAATACAATACTAAAATCTATCAATACAAATATAAAATACCTCAGAAAGAAAAGAAAGAACACCACAATATGAAAAAAGACAAGAAAATATAGAAAGCAGCTAGTGCATCCCACCACTGGGACCTTTGCTACATAGTAATTACTCATTTTCTTTGTCTTCCTTCTTCTAAATTTCTGCTCTTTCAGGAATACCTCCTTCCATCCAAAATTGCACTGAATCATCAGAAGGTTCAATACCCTTCCCTTTTATTAATACATGTTCAATAAACAAGCCCCATCATTCTTATTTGTCAACCCCTTTTACCTTAATTCCACATATATTATTAACAGCTATGTTCCAAATTTCTTCATACCATTCAGTTTATACCATGTCTGTATCAACACCTTTATTGTGGGCCATTTCACACAATCAAAAGCTGTAAAAATGTCTTGTGCTACTACTGCAACTTTTAACCTTTCCTTTGATATAAATTTTATTATATCTAATACACTTCTAGTCAGGTCCAGCATCTATCTTACTACTGTGAAACCACTCTGATCCACCTTAATGCATTTATCAATAAAATTACTCAATCTCTTTGCAAATATTGCAAAGAGGTCTATATGCTCCAGGATCTGACAGATCTTTATTAGGTTTTGGAATCAAAAGTATTGAAGAATATTTCCAAAATGCTGGCATTTTTGCTCCCTCCAATATGCTATTTTTTACCCCCCCCTTTTTAATTTTTTTTTTAAACAGAACATAAATACAATTGAAGTACCAAAAACATATTCTTCAAAATATACCTCCAATATACTATTAAAAATTTAATTTTGGTACCAGCAACTTTCTAAATACCTTATAAATCAATTTTCCTAATCCATCCATTCCTGGAGTGCTCCCTACTTTTAAATTATTAATAATCTCTTAATAATAATATTAATAATAATATTAATAATTAATAATTATTATAATAACAGGTTTTTCCATTAGATTCCTGTCTGCCTGGTACAATTTATTCCCAAGATTTTTTTCTATATATTATCTAGTTTTATCCATCAATAGCTTCCCAACTGCATATAACTTTGAATAAAATCTATAAAATATTCCTAATTTTTCTTTTGTCAAGTTACAATTTTACTTTTTTCATCTTTAACTATTCTTGTTAAAGTTATTCTTGGTTGATTTTTTTACTCTTTTTTGTTGCATAGCTCCAGTCAGTATCCTTGAATTCTTATTACTAAATTTAAAAAATCCTTTAAAAAATCCCTATATTTTGTCTGTGTTCTTTCTGTGTCAGTATTCTACAACTCTTTCCTTTTAGCTTGTATTCCACCAATATTTTAATATCTTGATATCAGTGTAAGTAAGGTTAATCCATTCTGTAACTGTTTTTTTTTTAATCAGAAAAATGTGAAGCAAAGTGACAAAGAACATCAAAGATCACGGTCACCCCCCCCCCCCACCCTGAGCATGGCAATCTCCCCGTCCCCCAGCAGGACTGCGATGGGGGGGGGGGGAGATGGCCACAATTGCGGTTGCGATCCAATGCGGAGTTTGCAAGTTTTATAAAAATGGTGCTCACAATCCAATTTGGTTGTGAACCGAGGCGTTCGTGAGCCAAGGTACTACTGTACTTACTCCCCTTGCAACAGACTTCATGTGTCTCATTCTAAATTTCCTTCACTCTTTGACATTAATTTTCCATATTTCTTTCAGTCCTTTCTCTGTTTATCTATATGTTTATGTTGCAAAATGCTTAAATCCACCTTCTAACCATTTCATTGTCACAATTCATTTTAAAGCCCATATTTATTAATGCATGATCTGTAATTCTTATCAAACCTATATCTGAATTATCTAGTCTAGAAAGCATATCCTTTTATACAAATATGTAATCAGTTCTAGAATAAGGTTTGTGAACCAATGAATAAAAGTGAATCTTCTTTTATCTCCCTTCCTCTCCCTCCGTACACCTTCTGAGTCAATATCATTTATCATTCTATTTAATGATATAATGTTACACCTTATTTTTTTAGTGGGATTTAATCTATCCTTATTTTCATCCATTACCATATTGAAATCTCCTGTCATTATTACAAAACTTTTCTTGACACCATCTGATTCATCCAGGACAGTTTAAAAAATGTATCTGATCAACATTTGGTAAGTAGATATTAACTAGTGTACAATCTCCTCTCATTTTACTTTATGATATCAAATATCTACCTTTCATATCTTTCTTAACTTTTTTCATTTAAAATTCACCTTTCTTAGATAATTGCCACTCCTCTGAACTTTGAATTCCCATATGCTTTTTCATAGATCTCAGACTATGAACATTTTAACTCATTAACTCCTTTTATGTGTTTCAATACATAAAAATATCACCTCTGTCCTAATTTAACATTGCTTCAATACTTTTTAAAAAATTATGTTCCCTAAGCCTTTCACATTCAAAGATAATAATCTCATTTAACTTGATATAACCTTGTGGTCCCTTATGGCATGCATCCAAAGACTTCCATACAAAGTAAAAATAAAAAGACATAATTTAAAAAAATACTTTTAATCTGTTCGCTAGAAAACATTCTCCCTACATTTACCTAAAGTATTCCCCTTCCTCCTCCATGGGCACCACCTTTCCCCAAAGCTGAAGTGGGGATGGGGGAACATTCCTGGTCCTCACAACTACCAACTTCCCTTGCCTTTATCCATTATTAGTTATCTCATTGTAAGTACTACCCAGAGTTACTTATTTTCCCACTATTTCTTCTTCCTTTTCCCTTTAAAAAAACTATTCTTATGTTTTTCTTTATCCCCATATACTATTCCATTTTTTGCCTTATATCTACTTAACTCCTCCTAGCTTTTATATTATTATATATAGTAAGTATATTTACGTAGTCTTCTCCCTAATAGAAAGCAGCAATTTAACCTTAATTGTTAAACTCATTCAGTATCCCAAACCTTAATTGTTAAGCCCATTCAAAATCCCATGCTTTAAACCTTATATTATTTAGTTAACCTTGCTCTATTATTCTTATAGCTTTCTATCTTATAAATCTTCTAACAGTTAACTATTTTCCTTCTACAATTTTATTAACACCAAACTTAAATTTACCCTTCTCAGATTGATCCAGAATTTTTCTACTTTCTTTCTTCTTCTTGTTTCTTCATCTTCTCCAATTGTTCTTCAGCAATCAGGTTGATGCTTAGTATCGGGGAGATAATGGTTCAGAGATGTTCAGTTTGGCTAAAAACTGATGCTGTGAGTACTACAGTAGTGACAACATCACCAAAACACAGGAATTGGCACCTGGTTCACATTTCTTCTCTTCTGCAGAAGTTCCAAGATATATTATACATCTCTGAACTTTCTAACTGCTCATTCATTCTCACCAGTTATCAAACTATGCCAGTTGAGTAATTTTTAAAGCCTGTTTATAGCAGTTCACTCATCCAAAGTCATTAGCTTCTCATTTGCAGCTTCTTTAGCCCATACAGAGGCTAAATGGTACATTGGTTTACATACCTTTTGATATACTTTTGTTAAAGGAACAGGTGTCAAGGCCAGACAAGGGCCATGGGCAATTTCCTTCTGTATATGGAGAGGATTCTAAGATCTGAGCAACCAGATGCTACAGAGAAGCTCAAGTCCACACCCCAAGCCCTCAGATTCCTGAGTTAAACCCTGCGATTAAGAAACTGGGAGAACTCCTAAAATACTGGATAAAGGGGAAGGAGGAGTTCCTGGGTTGCTGCACAATGCCCATGCTTGCTCTTAGTCTGTTTCTCCCTGTGCAAACTATTTGGTCTGTTCAAGAAGAATGCAAAGAAGGAGGTGGAGTTTTTTTTAACCTGAAGCAAGTTTTC